GAAAATCGTAACAACAAATATAAAAAGCTTGTGCCAACAACAAGTCAGCGCCAGTATTTTACTGTAAACGTCGGGTAACTATTTATAATTTTTTATGTTTTAAACTGAAAAACGATTAAATTACAGATTTTTACTGATCTGTTTAGCTATTTTGAAGTGAACATTCTAATAAATTACGATTTCAACTTTTAAAAGTTTGCAAACAAATTTTTAATTAGTTATTTTTTATTCTAATAAACAATTTCATTTTTTTATAATCGCTGAATTACTAAAATTAAAAATTAAACACTATTACATAAAAGTAGTTTATCCTGTTATTAATTAACTCCCTTGCTACCCACTAATTTTTAATATTAATGTAATTAAACATAAAAAATATTTAAAACTGGGGAAAAAACGAAAGAAATGCGTTAATTTTGAAGAAAAAGCTTCAAACTTTATTTTCCATTGTCTCGCCTTTCTGTGAAATCTGACACCGATGAGTCATTGTGTTTACAGCTGGATGACCTGGAGAACAGCTGGTGTTGGGATTTCCCGGGACATTCTCATAGAAGTCTCGGGAGGAGAAGGGTTTAAAGTAGAGTGAATACTAGCTGGCTGTATATTTTTAAATATTTTTCAAAAATTACGTTTTTTTATTGCGATTTCCGACCCCCCGACTTAATTAAACGTATATATAATAAAATATATTAATTTAAAAAAATTAAAAAACTATTGGAGGTCGTTTTTGACATCAGAAACTAGCTTTAAATAACTTTATCGAAGTAAAATCCGTGCACTACTACTTTAGAACGATGAATGAAATTTGATAAAAAAAACTCCCATTAAAAAACAATTAAGCGTTAATCGTGCGTCATTAAAGGTATATTAAAATCGCGATAAAATATTTTCGCGCGGGAAAAAATTTTTGAAAAAATTTGGAGACAAAAAACATCCAAAAATCCAAAAAAAGCAAAAATTTTTTCGGAGGGCCCAAATGCCGAGTTTTATGTAACGCTATGGAACTTGCCCGAGTTATCTCGGGTTTTAAAGATTGCAGCATTACTTCTTGCTGCCTGCAGATGGCTGTGATTGGTCATCCATATTCAGCAAACGAGATCAACAATGCAGTTAAGGAGACAAATTCCCTGACTTTTTGACAATTTTTGACAAATTCTCTGACTTTTTGACAATTTTCGACAAATTCCCTGACTTTCCCTGACTTTTTCCAAACACTAATGAAAATCCCTGACTTTCCCTGATTTTCCAGGTGCGTAGGAACCCTGTCAGTAGCTGCACTATCAGCAACCCATATATCTAGTTTAAATTGCATTTAATTTTTTTCAATGACCCATGTTCAGTTTCTTCTTGGTTTACTACACTAATGTTAACTCCTTTTTCCTTTTTGCACTTTTTTGGTAATGTGTTCTTTTATTCCACAGGTTCTACAAATAGTAAAACATTGATTTTTGTGTCCTGGCTTATTGCATCCAAAACAAACTATACCAGTTGTAGTTCTTCCTCTGTTCCCTTTTGAGCTTTTCCAGTTCCCTTTTTACTGTATCTGCTGTTACATTGTAGATTCTCAAGCTTGTCCATTGTCTTTCTCAATCTCTCCCTGTTTAAGCCTGACTCTTCCAATTTTAATCTTGCCATCAGAGTCTCAAGATTTCTCCTGTTCTCTTCCATAGATTCCCATGCTGTCATAAAGTTGTGGCTACAAGCCTGTTTTTCTTTTATTAATATTATTATTATTATTATTAGTCCGTATAGTTTTAGTTTAATTTAAACTCTAGAACTTTCCTTC